TATTTTAAGTGAATGAATATGTCTGAATTTTAAACTTACAAAAACTAATCAGGACTTGTTTCTCCTAGTGTTTACTCCATTACATTAAACGTTTCGGATTGATACTTCATTGTCTGCCTGTCTGTCTGGTAAATTCACCCTTTCTAAGTAACTCGCAATGGGATAAATGCAAACCCTTAACTGTATAGACATTATATTACATACCATACAAGATACATGTAAAATTTTCCTGTACAGTCACACCATAAAATCCTACTTTCATGAAAACACTAACGGATAAATTTCACAGTTGAAAAAATGTCTAACTCTTTTTCATTTAAGCTTGTGCGTTTTGTATACAAATGATCATAGTACAATATTCTTGTCATACACTCAATTTCTCTAAGATTGTTGTTGTTTAATATGTTTTCTATATGCTTAACCTTTTCTGATGACGAGGCTGAAACAAACTGTACACTTTCAATATAACAGTTAAAGTATAACAAACATCCATTAGAACTCTTGTAAACATTTCCGGAAATTGTCAACAGCCATCCCATATGTTTGTTCATCGACTAGTAGTCATTAATTACGCAGACAATGCTCATAGTTTGTACACTTTAACAATATCCATTAAATGCAACTCTAACGGCACGTTTAGAATATTAAAAATAAACAGAAATCATTAAGATATGTAGGAATGGTATTTAATTATGACATGTATATAGAGAATGAGTTCGAAAGTTTTAATTATTGATTGTACATAATTAATATCTGATTTTAGATTGAAATAATTATATATTGTACAACTTGTACCTGGTCATTCTTGAGGGAACGTTTCTATAGAGACTAATATTGTTATCACAACCATCTTATAACAGCAGCTGACACTGGAAGCATGTAACATGTGTAAAGGTAAACAAGAGATCTTTATCAAGCTGGATGAATAGTACGTGACAACTTCATGATAGCATTATTACAAGTAGACATTTTCTCAGGAAAATAGAATACTAGTACCTATACCTGGAGCCAGAGACATCTCTCTGCTGGAGCTGACTGTATTTCACAAGGAATGCCTCACTACGTTCAGTGTCATTCTAGTATTTTTTTAAGTTCAAAAGCTTTATTTATAGACGAATACTAGTATACAGAAAAAATAACCTCTATTGAGCTTTTATATCGTCCTTTCAGTATTGCTATATAAAATTAAAGATACTATATCTCATTTTCAATGTTTCATTTTTGTATGCATAAATAATTTAATTTTTATTAAATTACATTCCATTTTAATACTTTGTAATCAATTTTCTTATTAAGGTTTAATTCCTTTGATATATTTTGGTTATATGTGTCATTTGACCACTGTAAAAACTCTCATCTCCTTTAATTCATACTTCTAGTCCTCTCACGGGCTGACTGACTCAGAAAATTGACGTCTAAAGTGAAAGGTTAAGTTTAACTGCATGGTCTATGAATTATAATTTTTTCTCTCTTTTTATAAACACCATTTGATAAAATGTATTTCTGTGTGTTAAACAATTTCTTTCCTTGTTTGGATAGGGTTGGTAAAACGAAACGTCTCGAATTTTCTTAATTTGTGCTCATCTAGTGTTACACTCGGAGCTAAAAACTAAAAAAAAAAACAAAGATTTGTAAAGACATCGGGGGCTATAACCAATATGACTTAAAACGAATAGCTAATCTTGTTAAGGTACTAAACATTTGGAACCTATTTTTAATAAGAAAAAATACATAATAAAAAAGTCTGTTATAAATCACAATTACAGAAACAATATGTTGTTGATATTCTCAGATAGTAACGATCCAACTTGATTCCTAGTAGGGTGCTCTGGTCTACACATTCTAAGCTCTAACCCAAAGTTAAACTCCTAACCACGTGACAATCTCTAACTACATGACAATCTCTAACTAACCACATGACAAGCTCTTACTAAACAACATGCCAAGCTCGAACTAACTATATGATAAGCTATAACATGAAAAGTTCTTACTTGCCACACGACAAGCTAAAACTTATCACATGGAAAGTTCTTACTTGCCACACGATAAGCCCAAACTGACCGCATTAACAGATCTATCTAACCACATGACAGGTTTTATCTAACCACATAGCGGGTTCTAACTAACAACAAACCAGGTTTTAACTTACCACATGACAGGTTCAAACAAACAATATAACAGGTTTTAACTAATCACATGACAGGTTCTAACTAACCACATAGAAGGTTCTTACTGGCAACATGACATTTTCTAACTAACCACATAACAGGTTTTAACTGACCACATTACATGGTCTAACTAACCACATGACAGATTCGAACTAACCACATAACATGTTATAAGTGACCACATAACAGGCTTTAACTTTTCACATGAAAATTTCTTACTTGCTACATGACAAGCCCTCACCGACCACATTAAAAGATCTATCTAACCAAATACCAGGTTTTATCTAACCACATAGCGGGTTCTAACTTACCACATAACAGGTTATAACTTACCACATAACAGGTTTTAACTTACCACTTGGCAGGTTATTACTAACCACATAACAGGTTTTAACTAACTACATAACAGGTACTTACTTACCACATAACAGGTTTTAACTAACCACATCACAGGTTTAAACTTACCACATAGCGGGTTTTTCCTAACAACATGACATATTCTAACTAACCACATAACAAGCTAATAAAAACTTATCACATGAAAAGTTCTTACTTGCTAAATGACAAGCCCTAACTGACCACATTAAAAGATCTAACTTACCACATAGCAGGTTTTATCGAAACACATATAGCGGGTTCTAACTAACAACATAACATGTTCTTACTTACCACAACAGGTTTTATCTAACCACATAGCGGGTTCTAACAAACAACAAACCAGGTTTCAACTTACCACATGACAGGTTCAAACTAACAATATAACAGGTTTTAATTAATCACATAACAGGTTTTAACTTACCACATAACGAGCTTTTACTAACAAAATGACGGGTTCTAATTAACTTCATTACAGGTTTTAACTAATCACATTACAGGTGTCAACTTACCACATAGCGGGTTTTTCCTACCAGCATGACAGGATCTAACCAACCACAGAACAGGTTCTAACTGACCACATAACAAGCTAAAACTTATCACATGCAAAGTTCTTACTTGCTACATGACAAGCCCTCACTGACCACATTAAAAGATCTATCTAACCACATAACAGGTTTTATCTAACCACATAGTGGGTTCAAACTAACCACATAACAGGTTATAACTGACCACATAACAGGTTTTAACTTACCACTTGACAGGTTATAAAAAACCACATAAGAGGTTCTCACTAACCATATAACAGGTTCTAACTGACCACATAACAGGTTTTAACTTACCACTTGACAGGTTATAACTAACCACATATATAAAAGGTTCTTACTTACCACATAACAGGTTTTATCTAACCACATAACAGGTTATGACATGTTCTAACCACATAGCAGGTTATGACAGGTTCTAAATAACCACATAGCAGGTATGACAGGTTCTAACCAACCACATGACAGGTTATGACAGGTTCTAACTAACCACATAACAGGTTCTTACTTACCACATTTCAAGATTTCATTCACCACATGACAAACTCTTACTAACCAATATGAATCACATAAAAAGCTCTAACTGATCATGAGTTAAGCCAAACGGTGAATGAATTCATCAAAGATAAGTTAACATCTGATACTATTCCTAAATGGAAAAAATAAATATAACAGAATACCAAAATAACTTCAGACATTGTAACAGTAGAATATCTAATCTGACAATATAAGACAGAATATACTGTCCAAAAAATCCAGCACAGATGCATCAACAATGAAGTATAACAAGGGTGCACACCCTGAAATGTCTCGCCTGCTATACTTATCATGATTGAACTTATATTGAAAGTATGTAATATAGAGCTTTCACAAGTATTGAAAACTAATCATTATCAATTCTCCATGTGAATGAGGTCATGTTCAGATGAACCCTACCAGACAGACATGTAAATTTTTCTATCATACCATACACAAAATATAGTTTACTTTTGCTTAAAGCATCAGAGAAACAGACCTTATTGAAAAAAATAAACATTGACCAATGAACCATTAAAATGAGGTCAAGGTCATATGAATCCTGGCAGACACCATGTACTCAATGCAATCATTCCATACACCAAATAAAAGTTGATATATTGCTTATAGTATCAGAGAAACGGACAGAACATAAAAACTTGACATTCACCAATAAAACCATGAAAATGAGGTCAAGGTCTGATGAACCCTTCCAGACAGCATGTTAACCATACAATCATTCCATACACCAAATATAGGTGATCTATTGCTTATAGTTTCTGATAAACTGACAAAACCATGAAAACTTTACATTGAACAATGAACCATGAAAATGATGTCAAGGTCATATGAAGCCTGCCAGACAGACATGTGAACCTTGTAATCATTCCATACACCAAATTTAGTGTACCTATTGCTTAAAGTATCTGAAAAATAGACCAAACAACAAAATCTTGATATTGTCATATGATCTATGAAATAAGGTCATGGTCAAATGAAACCTGCCAGACAGACATGAACACCTTAAAATCATGTCATACATCATATACAGCTCATCTACTGCTTATAGTACCAGAGAAACAGACCAAAGCACCAAAATATTACACTGACCAATGAACAATGAAATTGAGGCCATGGTCAGAAGAAACTTACCAGTCATACATAAACACCTTACAAACTATTCCTTTATTTCTAACAGTCAGTGAACCATGAAAATAAGGTCAAGGACAATGGACATATGGCAGACAGAAACTTCTTAACATAAGGTATGTCTGGGATTCTGTGATTTCTGTCTCAGGCGAGACAAAATAAACAAAGGAACATGTAGGTCAACAATAGTGAATACTTAAGGTTAGGGATTTTTAACTCTCATATCATAAACAGAAAATACAGCCAGATCTGTTGTAATTTTATTACACTGAATAAATTAAAACATGGTCACATGATAGCACCTAACACTCTGAATAGAATGTGCACAGCTGGAGACAAATCATCCCAGGAATGTCTGTTATTCATCGGTTAACATCATCTTTACCAGTTCTTCATTGGCACACTGTTCTTCCTGTAGTCTCTGTGGCTGTAAAAAAAACATAAGTTGGAATTGAGATAAATTATCAGCACTTTTGTTGTTGTATTAAGCGTCCTGTTCATTTCAATGCATTGTTCAAGACCATGAAACACAATTAATGAAAACAGCTTAGTCCAAAATAGTAAAAAAAAACCAATGAAAAAGAACCTGATATACAGTATATTTTTAGTAGGAATTTAAACTCCCGCAGTGTGTCATTTGTTGCTGTCTGCCATGATCATTTTTCCTGAATGTTATTTTCTTAAATCAGGTTTCCCTTTTGAATTGTTTCAATTTTTGCTATTCAGGGGCCTTTTATATACATGTTTAAACTTACTGTACTTCATAACTTTTACTCATCATTGAAGGCTGTACTGTTCACTGTTGTTATTTCATAGTCTTTTTTCTATGGTGGATACTTTTCTAATTGAAAATAGAAAGGTTTTGATTGACACAATCTGAGCAATAGTTACTTCCCTACGTTGCCATTGTGGAGGTCTAAATGCACAAATTCCTTCACGAATCAGCCAAATTCAACTTGTTATAATGACCATTAGATTTTAGAAAAAGTTGTTTTCTGAACAATTCAAATTTTGTAAAGGATGATTCAAAACTACGATCTAGTAAGTTCTTTTTTTATCAGACTTGACTGTACCGTATTTTCAAGTTGGTTAGTCAAATAGGAAAATCAACCATTTACCTCTCCAAAATGGCCGCCAAGGGAAATATTTCAAACTCAAATTATGTCCTATCGAAGCCTATCTATAATACCACATCTCCTTATATTTCTGTTTACAAATTAATGTACAATGTTATTGACTATAGAAACATTGTTTACCTTGCCAACAACCATTAATGTAGGAACACTTTTTAATTTGAGTTCAGGATCTGTTCTAAACCCATTTGATTGGTTCTTCCAGCTAAAAGTAAACAGTGGCATCATTAATAATTTGTTTTAAACAGTTAAAGAATCAAGTTATGTGCATGAATCAATTTGAGTAAACCTACATCATTTGTTTTCCTTTGACATTTATTGAACAAGCAATGCCCAAACTATATCTTATCTTTTCATATTTGAGAAAAAAAAACTTTAATAGAATGGTACTTTGTTTAGGAATCTTAAGGATGTTCGCTCCTCTTGTTTTTGAATTTTTGCCAAATATTTGGAATCCTCTGGTTTTATCCATGAAGTGCCATTAACAATGTTTGCCCACTAACCCCTACTTTTCTCTCCATAATAGGATTACATATAGTTTAAAATGTCATCTTTGAAAATCTTATAAAATCCTTGTTATTTTTTCATCGTTTTTGAAAGAAAACAGGTGGTAATGTTAAATGTATGAAAAATCTAGAGAGAATTATTTCCCACCAAATTTTCAATGGCTTACATCTCGAAAACAAGCACACTGACCCTTCATTTTTATCTGCTTTTCTAGTTCCTTTATTTATATACTATCAATTTATAAGAGTCTTTTAAAAAGCTTATTATTTTGAAACAGAGTAGCGAACATCCTTAAGGTTTAAAGTTACATTTAATCAGCTTCTAAAACTTTTTGTCTTTCTTGTTCTGTTTTTTCTGTCTACCATTTCATCATGATCTGTCATCTGTTCAAAAACTTGTTAAGATTAAATTGTTCCAAAATTTTTCCAAAATGGTGTGACCAATTTAACCAATATAAAATTACAATCCATTTATCTCTAACAAAATATCAGATACTAGTTATTACTTACTAAGCTCTGTCACCAACACCACAATGGATAAACACTGCATCATCAGGTGCACTTGATAAACATTTCTTTATAACTGGGTCAGCTAAAATGAATAATCAAAGAAACACTTATAAACATTTCTTTGTTTAACATGTACATGCATGTAATGTTTGATATATAAAATAACTTTAATATTAGGGAGACATCAAATGATCAACAAATTTAAAAAATTAAACGGAAAAGAGCAAACATTTGTACAAATACTTTATATATTATCATTGTATAATATTTTGATAAATTTTGATATCTTTTTGCCCCTTTTTAACAATTTCCTTTTATTTCTTTTTGTTTTTGTTTTTTTGTTGTTGAATTTGTTTCTTTTCTGTTTCGTTTCACACTTTATAGGTGTAATAACACCAAAACATAGTACATCACATCCGGTTTCATGTAAAAAATGGTAGAAAAAATTCCTTCGTTGAATTTGACAGTTGTAGGAAATTAACCCTGCATTTAATTGCAGAAAATTTTGTTCTGAGTCATAAACATATATATCTTGGGTGTTTTAATGCACTATATTTTTTCTTTGATGTTCCAATAAAACATTTTGGACTGGTTACTAAAGCTTGTATAAAACAGAGAAAAAAAGGTGAAAAGTTGTTTGGTTTTATTTCAGGTGATGGTTATTATGCCCCCGCAACTAAAAGTTGGGGGACATATTGTGTTACCCCTGTCTGTCAGTCCATCTGTCCGTCCTTCCGTCCGTCCTTCTGTCCGTCCCTCCCATTATGGGTATATAGTTATTCCAGATAACTCCTCCTACAGTTTGAATGCTAGGAAGTTTTCAATTTGCTGGCTGTTTGTACATATATTGAAGGTGTGCATGTGGTCAGGGTTTTGATTTTTAATAATATTTGCTCTTTTGGGAGATAGTTGAACTTTGTCATTTTTGAAGTATATACTTGCATACGAAGTGCATAGCGTTTCCGGATAACTCCTCCAACAGTGAACCATGCATAGACCTATGTGATCCCACGCTCAACTTTGTGTATTTTAAAATAACACTTCGCATCTGCGGGGGCATCATGGGAGACACAATAATATCTCAAAGAAAGTACTCCATTGACTTTTTTATAATACAGTTACTTCAGAGTGGAGTGCAGGCCATCACTTTGTCTAGTTTTCTTATATATGCAATGAAATGTATGTGAAATTTCACTGTAGTACTCACTGGACAGGATAAAACTTTATTAATGCAAAGTATTTCTTTATTTGAAACAAAGATAAATTCTGTACAGTTTTTAAAAAATGCCAATTTCACAGACATCATTAGAACAGATAAATAAGGGAAAACATGGACCAGGATCAGGACACCTAATATCACCAACTACTACCAGGAATAGATATTTTACAGCACCGTATATGCAATGAACATGGAGGGGGTGGACAGCTTTTGAGGGAGATGGGAGGTGGGGGGCGGGAGGTGGGAGAGAAAAAAAGATTCTAAAAGTGGGAGGTGGGAGATGGTAAACGGACAGAAAGTCACAGGACAAAAAGTCACAGGACATAAAGTCACAAATTGGATAGGACAAAAAGTCACAGGACAAAAAGTCACAAATAATTTGTTGACAATTGTTTGAATATATAAGAGACAGATCTTCAAATAATTTCTTTTTTTACATTTATTCATTTTTAAGTTTAGGAAATTGTTCATAAGACTTGATAAGTGAAAAATGATTAAATTTTAATCATGCAAATGATATATTTCTTGGCACCATGAAGCCATTTAAGTGCCAAACCACTTTGACATTTTGTTATCATAACAATTATTTGATCATCATTGATACTTATTGAATAAATTTTAATTACAAAGTTGCTTCATATATAATAGTTCAAGAAAAAATCAAAAATTTATTTTTAAATTTAGTGTTTTCTTGTTCAGAGAAAAATAATCTCAAAACTGAATTGTGACTTTTCGTCCGTGACTTTTCGTCCGTGACTTTTTGTCCGTGACTTTTTGTCCTGTGACTTTCTGTCCTACATTCGTGGGAGATAGGGGGTAGGAGGTGGGAGAAAAGGGGGGTGGGGAGGGGGCCGGAGGAGGGGGGGGGGGGGGGGGGAGGTGGGAGAAGGGTACCCCCTGTCCACCCCTCAACATTGTGAGTTAGAAGAGATGCACAAATAAACAAACAAAAAAACAGATCCTATAAGAAACAGAAAATGTTAATTGAATAATGTGATAACCTCCCTTTATAGTTCAGATGCTAACCTGCGACACAATCTGGACACCAATTTTTTCCTTCCGAGTCAGTTGATCCTGAAAACTGGGCAAAAATAACTTTTCCTTTGTATTCCTCTGATTTTTTCTTATATTCTTCCAAGCCTTCAACGTTAACTTCAATAACCATGATTTCGTTACAATGGGTGTCTTTTCTAATGATGTTACTAGTGGCAGGAAATAAAGAGACACTTCCGGTTAAAGTGAAAGTAGAAAGTGAAAGTTGTAAAAAAGTAAACAAACCATGAATTGAAATCAACAGAGGAATATTGAAAGGTAGGTGTTCAGCTGGGTGTATTATGGATATATTTTTTTTATGTAAACAATCGAATGTTTCACTAATATTAAGGACGAAAACAAATTAACACTAAAAACTGTAAGGAGTAATTTCGTTCAACAGTTCAACGTGTTATTTTACGTGTTTTCTAGCTTACAATTTTTATTTCACTTGTTTTAGTGCTTAAAGTTTTATTCACCTTGATTCGTGCAAATTGGTGAAAAAAACAATGTGCCAGCTAATTTTTTTTTCGTTCATTGTGAAAGGCTATTTTATTTCCCGTTTGTCAGTGCACATACCCGGTCCCCTTAACAACCGACTCAAAAATTTAACTAGTTTCTGCACAAAGTATCGACTAAAAAAAATCTGATACAATCAACGTTGATTCGGGCGTCCTACAAGGATCAGTTCTTGGACCCAGTTTGTTCCTTTTCTACATAAACGACATGCCAGAGGGAATCCAATCAAGGGTAAGACTCTTTGCTGATGACACAATCATATATCTCACAATATCATCGGACACAGACAGCGACCACCTTCAGGAAGATCTGAATAAGCTGGCAATTTGGGAAAACAAATGGAAAATGGCATTTCATCCAGATAAATGTAATGTTCTGACCATAACAAGAAAACGTAAGCCTATTATAAAAGAATATGTACTGCATGGCCACACCCTCGAATCTCTAAATTCTGCAAAGTACATTGGCTGCACCATCAGCTCCGATTTAAAATGGAATGAACACACCAAAAACATATGTGTCAAGGCAAACAAGACCATAGGCTTCCTCAAACGTAACTTGAACATCAATAACAACACAATAAAAGAAACTGCATACAAATCACTTGTAAGACCGACTCTAGAATATGCATTCTGGGATCCTTATCAACAAAACAACAAAAACCGACTGGAAATGGTACAGAGGAGAGCAGCCAGATATGTCACTTACAGATACCATAACACATTATCTGTTAGTGACATGCTTAACCAACAAGAATGGAAAACCCTCGAAGACCGTAGGAGAACATCAAGGCTTACAATGATGTATAAACTTGCCAACGGGATGGTGAAAGTTGACACCAGTAATACTCTCATTCCACCAGATAGGCTATCCAGAAACATCAACACTAATGGATACCAAGTACCATCTTGTAGGACCGAAGTGCGGAAGGAATCTTTTTACCCAAGGACGATACGAGACTGGAATGCCCTACCACATACTGCCACCAATGCAGGTAGTCTTGAATGCTTCAAGACTTACCTGCATGAGATGAACTATAGATCAACGCCAAGATGTTTTTAAATTCACTGTATATATGATGTATAGCACAATTCAAATCAATTCAATATTTATTTGTCTAAATTTTAAATGCGCATCCAAAAAGTGGCAAAATAATCCAGTCATGCTTCAGTGAATCCCTATATAATCAACCAAATTTTTCCAACAAAAGGGGGGGGGCGGGCCCCCCAGGCCCCCCCCTGGATCCGCCTATGGAAGTAGAAGTAGAAGACTAGGAGAAAATGGAACAAAAAAGTGTTTGCTAGGTAGGCGCCGACATCTTCCTATCATCCATAGGTCACCTATATTTTTTCTTGAAGATTTGTGACAAGAATCCTTTAATTAGATGCTTTCCCAACCGTGACGGTAAATCGGATTCTATGTCTGCTTTTAGCGAATGCTTTGCTTTGCTTATTATTTGCTATAATTACTACGCTTTGATAGTTATCATGTGGATGTTGGTTGGAAGCTCTACAGGGCTTATGATGTATAGTTGTAGGTATACCCGACTTTATATAAATCTTTTTTTAGCTTTATGCTTTATTATTTAAAGTTTTTATTTCCGACAATTGTGACCATGAATGCTATACCTTATTTAATTTTCGGATAATTAAGATTGGAACTTTACGTAACCTCAATGATCTACATATGAATAAACGAAGGGGATTTCAAGCTTAAGCAATACATTCGGAGATAAAGTATTCAAAGGGTAGGAGGACTCGGTAAACAGATTAATTTTTTTTTATTCAATGGATTTTTCAGCATACGGATATGGATAGTAAACTGCACATTGCTGGAAAACAAAGAAATATTGATGCCAACGTTAAACACGTTAAGAACGATACAAATAGACAGGAACTAAGGAAAAAAATAAAAATCATTGATTAACAAAATTTTAATCTGCCAACCCGAGTCTCTTTGGAAATAATGGCATTTATCGTCAAGCATCAACTTCCACTTTTTGTTATCGTCAATGTTACCAATGAGCCTTACTGAAAACACCATTCGCCGCATCGTATTTTTGAGCAACAGAGAGCATCAACCACTTTTAAACGCCTTAAAACTGTCATTTTTTCAAGTTACCGTTTATTGTCACGTTGAATACCTAATTCCCACCAAATTGTAACACGAACAGATGAACAATATAATAATCTCGAAATTTTGAGGGGCCTCGGTGGCCGAGTGGTCTAAGTACTGTATCACTAACCTATCAACACTGAGGTTGTGAGTTCGAAACCCGCACGTTGCAGGTGTGCTCGAATCCAATCTTAATTGGATTGTCAGTTTTCCTGCCGAATGTCGGTAGTTCTCTCGGGGCACTCCGGGTCTTCCACCAATAAAAACTGACCGCCACGAAATAGCCAAAAGTGTTGCAAGTGGCGTTAAATTTGAACATTAATCAATCGAAGTTTTGACTTTGCTGATTATGTGATACAAACTGTCTAGGTATTTTAAAATAATATCAGCCACATGACATATACGTGTATATTCAGGAAAAGATGGCAGAAGAAAACACAGAAAACAAGAGTACACCAGGGATAGGAATGAGAATGACTATTTCTATGATCAGTAAAAAGTTTTCTAAAGCAGCAAACATCAGTACAAATACTCTGTCTGATTGGATGAGGAAGGAAGAGGAGGCTCAGAAACTAGTTTTACTTGTAGGTATAGTACTTGCATACATCCCATGTCGGAATTTATTTTTTATTCAAGGTCCCTGATAATAATTGTTATATTGTCAATCCAAAGATAAATTTAGATATAACTAAATATATAAGACAAATAAATATTCCATATCCAGAAATTCATAAGGAAAAAGATCACAAAGGCATGAATGAAAACATTTAAGAAAAGTCGAAATGTTAGATTATATTGCATTTAATTGTGTATTTGATCAAAGATCTTTTGAATTCATCAGAGTCCACATCATTCTGCTTGAGATCAAATGAGGCCCCTCATGGGGGTGTCCAAGTAATAACATAATCACATTTTTTGCCAATATATCAATATAATTACATAATCATTAATCATATTATTAAGCAAGATAATCAAATAATCAAAAATACATTCCTAGATTATCAAATAATCAAATAATCATGAAATATTTGGTCTGGTAATCAAATTATCACTTTACAAACAGCCAAGTAATCACATAATCAAAAACCCCATGAGGAGGCTCTCATATGGTGTATACCTATTCAGAAATGATTTCGCAAAAACATTTTTCTAGGTATGAAGAAAGAATTGTCGTTTGAGTCTTGGGAATAGGTTAATTGAAACAACATCTTTTATTTCACGTCATGAAATGTTCTTTATATATTTATATGTGTGTACAATTATGGATAGTTAAAGGTGTTGCTTATTCGGAGAACTTTAACGTTTTTTTAACAGGGCATCTACACAAGTTTTTTTTTTACATATGAAAACAATACTGTAATCGGATTTTTAAGCAGTAACAATACCAAATTTATCACCTGGCAGGAGTATCTAACATTTTACAACACCCGAGCTACGGGAATTGATGAAATCTTTACAACTCGTCGAATTTGTTATGGATTCGTGTTTGCAATAGTTGATTCATGTCTGGTTCTTGCATTTCGCTCATCATCTATCAAAGTCCTCAGCGGAATCCTACAGCCATTGTTAGTTCTCTTTCCAGTTGATGTGCGGAATTATGCTATTCGGACAAGCTGGGGCCAATGTGTAAATCATTTATTAGTCCCAGTGACCTGTTTGCCAACAATACACAAACTTTATCATTGTTGACATGCGATGCCCTTCAACTATTGCAGCAATATTTGAGATTTTTTGGTAACATTTCTGTATATGATGCAATTGGACTTCAATATAAACATAATACTATTTCACTCGAGTTGCCGCTCCACTTTTGCACCTTACATTTAAGTGTTAGCAGTAGCATACCACAATTAGAAGAAATAGCCTAGGCCAAAGTATGTACAGACAAATTCTTTCATTTTCTCTATTAAATTACTTCATCTCTGACTCTTTCTGTAAAATGTCAAATGTTTTAGACTCGGGACGATTTAGAGTATGACGTATTGTAAAGACATGTGTCTATTGTCGAAGACAGTGTTTTAGACTCAGGGCGATATAGAGTATGACGTATTGTAAACTTTAAGACATGTATGTGTCTATTGTCGAAGACATGTATGTTTCTATTGTAAAGACATGTATGTGTCTATTGTCGAAGACATGCATGTGTCTATTGTAAAGACATGTATGTGTCTATTGTCGAAGACAGTGTTTTGACCTCTAGATGGGTTTGGCTTTTCTGGTGTTAAGTTGCTGTCTCATTAATGTTTACCTTTATCTCATTTTACTCACTAACATGAGAGTGAAAGCAGGTACGTAAACAGGTCGAAAACATCACGTATAACTTGACTGGAAGACGGCTAAAAATATGATAAATTTTTGCATGTAACCTTGAATATTAGATATGTTAGATTTAACCTACTTGTAGTAAATACGTTTGATATAAATAAGATTTTAGACGAGATATTAGAATGAAAGACATTTATTTTGATATTTGCATATCGTAAAATGTAAATACGTGACTACAGTCATATAAACGTTCACATATAAATTTGAATACAGCGTTCTATATAAAAGCAATAAACTCGTCATAGATACTAGTATTAACATTGTGTACGCCACACGCGCGCTTCGTCTAAAAAAGACTCACAAGTGACGCTCGAATCATAATATTTTTAAAGGCCAAACCAAGTACGAGTACTGAGGACTAAAAATTCCAAATTTTTTTAGCAAATACAGCAATATTATTCAATTCATTTATTGAAAATAATACAGTATTATACCCCAATGGTGTTGATGTCATACATGAAAACAAAATAAATTAAAACATTACATAATACATCACAAAAATAATTAAAATAAAGACATGAATTCATATATGTAGTACATTTCAATCAGTTTAATTGAAGTCTGGAGCTGGCATGTCAGTTAACTGCTAGTAGTCTGTTGTTATTTATGTATTATTGTCATTTTGTTTATTTTCTTTGGTTACATCTTCTGACATCAGACTCGGACTTCTCTTAAACTGAATTTTAATGTGCGTATTGTTATGCGTTTACTTTTCTACATTGGCTAGAGGTATAGGGGGAGGGTTGAGATCTCATAAACATGTTTATAACCCCGCCGCATTTTTGCGCCTGTCCCAAGTCAGGAGCCTCTAGCCTTTGTCAGTCTTGTATTATTTTAAATTTTAGTTTCTTGTGTACAATTTGGAGTTTAGTATGGCGTTCATTATCACTGAACTAGTATTATATATTTGTTTAGGGGCCAGCTGAAGGACGCCTCCGGGTGCGGGAATTTCTCGCTGCATTGAAGACCTGTTGGTGACCTTCTGCTGTTGTCTGTTCTATGGTCGGGTTGTTGTCTCTTTGACACATTCCCCATTTCCATTCTCAATTTTATTTTTATATCTTGCAGTTGTTGAATCCACTCTCCTTAGTGACCAGGACTTTTTAACAAACGGAGCCGCATACCGCATAACTGACGGACATGAAAGATATAAAACTAATTAATCCAATTTATCCATCTCATCTATATTTGAATAGATATTTTTACTTTTTCTTAAAAATTCAAGTCTCAAGTTTTCATTTTGTTTACATTTAAATAAGAAATGATCTTCATCATTTATTTTATTTAAAGAACAATATTGACATAAACATTTTTCTCTTTTTATGTTTCTGTGCCTCCCCCTTTCAATTTCCAAAATATGGTCACTTACCCTTAATTTAGTAAAGCATTTCCTGGTTTCAAAGTTATGTTCTTTAAGTAAATATGGCTTGATTTCATAAATCTTTTTAACTTTACTATAAATATATAATTTATTTATTTCCATTAAAGAGTTTAATTTCTTAAAGAACAACTTTTTATAGTTTTCTTGAAAAATCTCCTTCATGTGTTTACTAGTATTTTTTTTTTGTATTTTTCTTGTATACAGTTAATATTTTCTATCTCTGATAACTTCTATATTATTTTCATGAATTATATTTTTGACAAAGGTATACCAAGAATAAGTTCCTGCTCGTTATTGGTTAAAACATTACCCTTCATTCGAACATATATACATCTGTCATCGATACGGTTATTTTTAGAATCAGAATGCTATATTGAACAACATCATACCTGTAACATGGACAAATAGTTTGATAGAAGCTATTCACATTACAATCGATGCCGCTGCTCTTAACTCCATCAAAATCTTTAAGTTTCTCTTTTATTATTGCAAAATATTCTCAAGTATACGCTCTATATATATCAATCGACTGGTATACATCCCAAATGCTGTCTCTCAGCAGGTTTTAAGTGTCAGTACCTTTCATATATTTCATGAAAGTTCATTAGGGTGGTATTCCCACATAGAAGAGGACCTTTCATATACTATATAAATAAAATGGGTCTTCAACGCAGCGAGAAAATCCCGCACCCGGAGGTGGTCCTCAGCTGGCCCCTAAATACAATTGTGTACTAGTTCAGTGAAAATGGACGTCACACTAAACTCCAAAACATATAAATGAACTAAAATTAAAAAAAAACATACAAGATTAACAAAGGCCTCAGGCTCCTGACCTCTGACAGGGCAAAAATGCAGCGGGGTTAAACATGTTTTGTGAGATCTCAACCCTCCCCCTATACCTCTAGCCAATGTAGAATAAAGAAACACATAGCAATACGCACAGTAAAACTCAGTTAAAAGAAGTCCGAGTCCGATGTCAGAATAGGTAACAAAAGAAACTAAGCAAAATGACAATGATACATAAATGAACAAAGGACTACTAGCAGTTACTGACATGCCAGCTCCAGACCTCAATCAAACTGATTGAAAGATGATGTCTTCATCATATGAAAATCAAGTACAATCCCTGCCGTTAGGGGTTTAGTATCAAACCATTATAAAATATATGAGAAGAACATAACCCGTATCATGCCAACAACTGGTTTTAGAATAAATGTGTTTATTTCCGATGCAAAGACCCTATGAGTGAATCAATATTAATACCAAAATATGCAATCCTTAATGACTTGACAACAGTATCGTAACTATGTCCTTTCCGAATAAGTCTGTTTAAAGGTTTGGTTAGCTTTTGAGGTGAATGCCGACATTTTTGTGCATTGTAAAGAATATTACCACAAAATATTGGATGTGAAATACCTGAACGTATAAGATGTCTGCATGTTGATTTATATTTACGAATGATGTCCTTGTACCGATGATAAAATTTAGTAAATGTTTTGACTAGTTTGTGATATCGAAAACCCTGGTGTAATATTTTTTAGTAATACAGAGATTTCTATCGTTAAAATCAAATTCGTTGTTATATACACGAGCGAATCGAACAAGTTGAAATATATAAACACCATAAGATGGCGACAAGGAAACGTCACCATCTAAAAAGGATGATTAACAAAGGAAATGAAGAATCATCTCTTTTATCATAAATTTTGGCATTAAGCTTCCCGTTAAAGATAAAGATATCAAGATCCAGGAAAGGGCAGTGTTCATTGTTAGTATTAGCTTTATTTAAAGTCAGTTCGGCAGGATAAATCTCTTTTGTGTACATACTGAAGTCGTCATTATTGAGGGCCAATATATCATCTAAATATCTAAAATTGT